GCGGGGTGAGAAGTCACCTGGCCTGTGGTGTGGGGGTTGCGTGTGTGGCCACTTCTTGTCCCCACGCACTCGGGGCGTCCTACCCCGGGTGGAGCCCCCGGTTGTCACCGCCTTGTGTCCCCATACCCTCCTGGGTCAGAGGGGGGTTTGTCCCTGGAGATCTCGGGGATGTTCATGGAGGTACGCCCTTCTCCTTCTAGGAGGGAGCCATGGACTTGCTGCGGGAGCTGAAGGCCATGCCGGTCACTCTGCACCTGCTCCAGGTAGGGCCCCACGGGTCCCCTGCCCGGGAGAGCATCAGGGAAGCTCCTGGGCTCCCAGCAGGCTCCCTGCCTCACTCCCCGTCCTTGGGCAGCACACATGCCGTCCCTGAGGAGGCTGTCCCTGCCGTTTGCTGCTGTTCCGAGATGGGGAGGGGCACCTGAGGGCGACCGGCCCTGTCCCCGGGGCTCCCAGTCCCAAGTGGGGCAGCGGCCCTCGGGAAGAGCGTGCCCCTGCCCGAGGGAGCCTTCGGAGGGCCGTGAGGGGGGCCTGGCTGCGGCCCCCAGCCCTGCGCTTGCCTTGCAGTCCACCCGGGTCGGCATGTCTGTCAACGCCCTGCGCAAGCAGAGCTCCGACGAGGAGGTCATCGCGCTTGCCAAGTCGCTCATCAAGTCCTGGAAGAAGCTCCTGGGTGCGCGGTGGGCGGCCCGGGCTGAGCGCTGGGGCCAGGGGTGCCTGGCTGGTGCCGCCTGCTCTCCTGCTTCAGCCCACCCGGCGGCGGGGGCCTGGCCGACCGTCCTGGCGGCCCGCTGGGGACCGGGAGGGGTGGGCGGGCGGGGCTCCTACCCTGAGCTGGGCGTGGTGGAGGCTGGGCTCAGGGCTGGGGAAGCCACACAGGGCGAAAGGGCTCCGGGCTGCAGGGGGGCAGGGAGTCGCCCCCAGCCGGGGAGGGGAGCGGGGAGGGGAGGGGTGTGGAGGAAGGGGAGGCGGCGGCGGTGGCAGAGAGGAGGGGCCGTCACTGCACCGGCGACCGAGGCACCACCTCTGGGCCCGGAGCCCCTGCCCGCTGTGCCGTCCAGAGGCTGCGCCGTCCAGAGGCTGCGCCGCACAGATGGGCGTCCCAGGTTCCCTCCAACCTGCGTGGCCAGAAGGCTCCGTGTTGGACACACGTGTTATTGTGGTGGTGGGCGGGGAGGCTCCCAGGCCCAAGCCGGGGCATCAGGAGCCCGTGGGGGACGCGCTCAGTGGACAGTGGCTCGCAGAGGCGCCCGAGGTCCAGCTGGGGAGTGGCCGTGTCCTGCCTGCCGTGACCTCCTTTTCCAAGTTCAAATGCTTCGCCTGTGGAGACGTCACGGGGGGCGTGTGTGTGTTTGCCCTGAGGAGTCACTCTCGGTGGATGGCGGTCCCCTCTGGCAGGACAGACCCTGGGTGGACCCCTGGAAGTGCCACAGGCAGCGGCTGGGTGGGGAGACGTGTGGGGAAGGGATGTGGGGGCTGTTCCTCAGCCCAGGCAGGAGAGGGCGCCAGTGGGTCATTGACAGGAAGGCGCAGCCCCAGGCCTGGCTCAGGGGCGGGGCTGGGGGCCGAGGCTGTGCCCTGGTGTCGGTCAGTCCCCTCCCTGGCCTTCCCATGCCCTCGGGCCTGCCTTCCTCTACCCACCCGCCCCCCTTCTGGGCACCTGCAGATGCTTCAGACGCCAAAGCCAGGGAGCGGAGGAGGGGCGGGCCTCTGCCCACGTCCTCGAAGGAGGCCTCGGAGGCCAAGGACACCAGGTAGCGCACCTGGGAGGCAGGGGCACGCCCTCCACCCCCGGGGTGCGCACGCTCACACGGGGGTGCTGACAGCTGCGCCCTGGGAGGGCTGGGGCCGCGGGAACCCGGGCCCTTCCGGCCCCTCGGAGGGACTGACCGCAGCTCCCGGACACAGGCTGCAGCCCTGCCGCCGGCGGGGAGGCTGGGCCGGGGCTCGAGGGCCTGTGCCAGCCCTTGGCCTGGTCCTTGGCCGCCAGCTCGGGTCACACGCCCTTGAGCTGGCCCCACCGTGGCTGACCTCTCCCTCCCTCCCTCCCTCCCTCCCTCGGGGCCGCAGGGGCGTGAGGGGAGGGCCGGTGGACGCAGCCTGGATGGCAGGCGGCCGGGCAGCCCTGCTGGTGGGCAGACCCGGCCTTGGGCGATCGACTCCTCGCCCCGCCTGCCCCTCCCCGACCTGGCAGCTGGTGTTGGGTGGTGAGGCCCCTTCCCCTGGGCCTCCCAGAGGGCAGCGCTGTCCCTGCGGTGCCGCGGTTCGGGGGCGGAGGCCCCACGCAGCTGGCCTCGCGGCCCTTGGCCAGCAGGGCAGACTGCGGCCATGCCGGGCTGGGCTGCGGGTGCTTGGCGTCGCGGGCCGCTCCCAGGGGGAGCAGCTAGGATTCGGGGGAGAATGGCTGTGACGCTGGCTTTTGTGGGGACAGGTGTCTCACGGGCTCCCGCGCCCCGGGCGGGCCTGTGTCTCTCCAGCCGCAAGAGGCCAGAGCTGCCCAGGGTGCTGTCGGCCCCGAGGATGACCACGTTTCCCCCAGTGCCGGTCACCTGCGACGCTGTGCGCAACAAGTGCCGGGAGATGCTGACCGCCGCCCTGCAGACGGACAGTGAGTGCCCGTGGGACAGCCCTGTGCCTGCCCGCGGCCGCCCCCCGCCCCGGACTAGGCGGGCGGAGGCGGCGACCAAGCCAGCGGGCGGCTGGTCAGGGCTGCTTCTTGCAGACGACCATGTGGCCGCCAGCGCAGACTGCGAGCACCTGTCCGCCCAGATCGAGGAATATATCCTTTGTGCGGGGCCTCAGGGCTGGGGCTTTGGGGGGCGTCACCAGGCCCTACTCCCTGGCGGCCACTCTGCCCCAATGCCTCTGCCAGGCCGGGGTGGGGGTGCGGCGGGCTCACCCCCGAGCCTGCCGAGGGCCGACCCTGCCTGCTGGTGGGCGTGGGCCTCCGGGCCCCTGAGCCTGGAGGGGGTCCTGCGGGGGGCAGGGAGGGTGCCCAGCGGCCCCTCAGCTTGCCGCCAGGCCTGGGGGGGGGCAGACTGACCCCGCGGGGCCGGGCCCCCTTCCCAGCCCAGCCAGATCCCGGCAGCCCCCACGGGAGCGGCTCCCCGGCCGCAGGGTGGGCGGAGGGCGGCGGCCTTGCCTATGACGGTCCTTACATGCCTGCACGCATCTTCCGGGATGTGGGCAACACGGACATGAAGTACAAGAACCGCGTGCGGAGCCGCATCTCCAACCTCAAGGACGCCAAGAACCCGGACCTGCGGCGGAACGTGCTGTGCGGCGCCATCACGCCGCAGCAGATTGCAGTGATGACCTCGGAGGTGAGTCCGCGCGTGGCAGGGTGGGCCGCCTGCCGGGCTGCGCTGAGCGCTGGCGCCCCCGCAGGAGATGGCCAGCGACGAGCTGAAGGAGATCCGCAAGGCCATGACCAAGGAGGCCATCCGCGAGCACCAGATGGCCCGCACGGGCGGCACGCAGACCGACCTCTTCACCTGCGGCAAGTGCAGGAAGAAGAACTGCACCTACACGCAGGTGCGCAGCCGCAGGGCCCTGTGACCTCCGACCCGGCCGTCGCCTGGACGCTGAGCGCAGCGGGGGGCTGCAGCCCGCGCTTGGGCCCAAGCCCAGGAGTGACGGTCACCTTTGGGACCTGCTCGCTCCCTCGCCTGGGCCCTGGGCCCCAGGGAGCAGCGCCTGGGGGCAGGGCCTGCTTGCTGAGGACGCTCGGTTGGGGGGGCCCAGCCCAGCAGGGGGGGACGCGGGGGCGCTCACTGCCGGTGGGAGGGCCTGCGGTGCCGCCTGGCGGCGGCTGCGGACCCAGGCCAGCAGGCTTGGCACTGGTCGCCCAGGGGGCCGGGCCACGGCGGCGGGGAGGGGCTGGCTGTGACCGGGGGCCCCGCCCGCAGGTGCAGACCCGCAGCTCCGACGAGCCCATGACAACCTTCGTCGTCTGCAACGAGTGCGGGAACCGCTGGAAGGTGGGTGGGCGAGCCCGGCCCCGCCCTGCTCTGGGGTGGGGTCCGTGTGAGGTGCTCCAGGGCGGCCCCCCACGGGCTCTGTGGAGGGTGGTGAGACCCCGCCCCGCCCCGCCCCTGCTCCGCGCGGTCCCGGGTGCCGAGTGGACGGACGCCTGTCCCCCGCGCAGTTCTGCTGAGCCTCGCGCGGACGCGGCGGCAGCGGCGGCCTGTTGCCCTCCTCGCTTCCTGCCGACACAGCCCCTCCGGAGACTCGCTTCGCGCCCCTGGCCGCCCCCAGAGCGCAGCGCGCCCTGCCCCCCGCCTGCAGCGCACCTTTCTCTCTTCCCCCAAATTATTAAATGTTTCTTTTTGCCACTGTGCTGTCCTTGGCCTTTGGTCCTGGTGGGCCACGCACAGGCTTGGGCTGGAGCTGGGCCCCCCGCTGCCCCCGGGACAGCCCTCCTCCCGGGGGTCCGGCGACCCTTGGCGGGGCAGGCGGGAGGGCCCGGGTGGGCGGGGCCGGGGGTACCCGGAGGACCCGGCCCCTCCCTAGGCACATCTGCTCAGGGCCCAGGGTGCCCGGCCCTTCCTGGCTCCAGCCCTCACCCTAATCCCACTCCTGGAGGCGGAATGGGTGGGGCCAGACCCTGGGTCCTCTCGGTGTCAAATCGCTGTGTGTCCCAGAAATCCGGGGGTCGTGGTGGCCGGCACATGCCTCGGGGGGCCCGAGACACAGTGGAGGTGACGGCTCCTGGCACCAGGGACCCTCGGGAAGGTCCCCTCTCCTCCGTGTCCCGCGCCCATAGGGCAGCCTCTGGGGAGGGTGTCTGACACCTCCCGGGACCCTGCCCACCCCAGGACTGGGCGCCAGGGGGCCACCCCGGCCCCAGTCACTGCCCTGCTGGGGGCGCGTGGGCACGGGGCCGGGTGTCCCCCGAGCCCAGCTGCTCCCTCGTGGAAAGAGAGGAGATGCTTAAAAACATCCTTGATAAGACAGCCTACTTTGGGGGGAGAAGTGGAGATAAATACGAAAACTTTCTTTTTTTGATAAAATACCGTGAGGACTTGTTTCCAGGTCTAAAGTTAATGAACATGTAACAGAGAGACTGGGTCCCGGCGTCTGATGCTGGGTTTGGAGGCTCTGGGTCAGGTCCCAGGTGCCGCGACCCGGGTCGGGGGTCTCGTCACACCAGCAGACGGGGCAGCGCCGAGGTCCTCTTCACCAAAGGTGCTCCCCTGGCCCCGGCTGCCCCCGGAGGGCCCCCCTCACCAGGCAGGAGCCCACGGCTGGCCCGCACGCTGCCTGTCGGCAGGGCCTCGGGGCACCGGGCCCCGGGGTGGGGAGGGCTCTGGGCCCCCCGCCCCGCAGCGCCCGCCACCAGCGGCCACGCACAAGGACGGCGACCGGAGTCCCCGCCCGGAGAGGGACGGCCTAGGCCTCCTTGGGGGAGGCCGGGGGGCCGGCCTGGAGCAGCAGGTCGCGGTAGGCGGGGGAGCCGAGGAAGCGGGGGTAGGAGTCCCGGTGCATGAGCGTGTAGATCTGCAGCTGCGCGTCGTCGAACGTGTGGGCGGACGGCTCCTGCATCCTCTTGTTGATGCCCTCGCGGACGCGGGAGTCCAGGCTCACCTCCCTGGGCGACAGGATGGACACATAGTCCTCGTAGATGAGCCGCGCCTTCTCGTCCACCCCGTGCTGGTCGGCCTCGGCCTTGAGCTCCTCGCAGGCCAGCCAGAAGAGCATGTTTTCCTCGCTGTACTCCGTGCGCAGGAAGGCGCGGAAGGCGCTGCGCCCCGCCGGGCTGCGCATCAGCTTGTCGAAGGACTGCGCCCAGCTCTGCACCTCCTCCAGGCTCGGCGCGCTGCGGGGCACGGCCAGCAGGTCAGGCGTGCGGCCGCCGGCGGCCCCCAGCCCGCGGCCCGCCCGGCCCCCGACTCACCAGGCCTCGCGGTCGGACAGCGGCTGCAGCCTGTTCTCCCCGGAGGCCTGCCGTGCGCGCTGCTGCCCGTCCCTCCTGAGGGCGGACACACGGGCCCCGCGTGAACGCCCAGGCGTGCACGCGCGGCCGGGACTCTGGGCCCCGGGGCCCGCCCCCCCGCCCCGCCCCACCAGACCCCGCCCCTTGTCCCAGAGGCCCCAGGCTGGTGTGGGAGGCCGACCCGGACTCGCCCTGGGGACCCGTCTTCCCTCCCCTGGGCCGTGGCCCGTGTCAGGCTGGCTCCCAAACCCGTGCCTGCCAGCAGACCTGTCTCCAGGGCCAGGGAGGGGGCCGATGGGCACCGCGCACCCACGCGCCCACCCTGAGCCCAGCACCTCCCGCCGCCTGCCCAAGCCCAAAGCCAGACTCCCGGCCAGTCCGGGCTCTTCGTGTGCTCCCGCCCCCGGCCACCCCTCTCCACTCTCGGGTCTGGGCTCAGGCCTTGGGTGCTCGCGGGCTGGCCCCCTTGAGGCCCCCGCAGTGCCGGGCAGACCTCTGGAAAGCACAGAGCTCCAGCAGCTTCCCAGGTGCCTAGGAACCCTGGGACCACCCGAGGCCTCGCACCCGCTCCAACACGCCGCGCTGGCGACTTGTCCCCAACATCCCCGGGGCCGGCAGGGGCCCTGAGCAGGCCTGCGCGGCCTGCAGAGACGGGGTGTCCACGCAGGGCTGGCTGGTGCCTGCGCTCCGGGCGGGACCCCAAGCACGGGCCTGGCCACCAGCCGCCGGAGCCCCGCAGCCCCTGGGCAAGGGCTGTGGGTGGCACGGGCACCCTGGGGGCGGGAGACACCTCCGAGGTCCCCAAGGGTCCGGGAGCAGGCCCCTCCCTGCCCCTCCCCCACGTACCAGGAGGGGCTGCAGCAGCAAGACCACCACGGGCAGCAGGGGCTGCGGCCGGGGCCAGCTGGGGACGCCGCGTCATGGCTGGACATGGAGGGAGGCTGGTCCGCCTCCTCTGGCCCTGCGTGCTGGGGGAGACAGGCGCCTCAGCCGGGGCCCGACCGCGGGCCCGCCTCTCCCGCGCGGTCTCTGGGGGCTGCAGGGGCCCTCAGTTCCTTGTGGCGCCCAGGGGGCAGAGGCGGCGCACCTGCTTGTCAGCCTCATGCGCGGTGGGCATGGGTGGGTGGGGGTGGTCGCCTGGGCTCCGTGGTGCCGGCTCGGGACGTCGCCACAGCCTGGGAGTCTGAGGAGAGAGGCCAAGCTTCTCAGAGGACCTAAGACCCCAGCCCCAGACGCGCCCCTCCCCCAGCGGTCCTGAGATTGCCCGCCCCCACCCCCCCACCTACAGCAGGGCCGTGAAGGGCGCGCGGTCAGCGAGGAGGGGTCCTGGACAGAAACCCACAGGAGGTCCTGGGACACCCCCATCTACCCGGTCCCTGGGAAGCCGGAAGCCTGGGTTCCTCTTTCTTGGCTTCCGGCTCCTGGCCCCTCCCAGGGGACCTGGGGGCCCCAGTTGTCTGCGGCTCAGTTCGGAGCACAGCCGAGGTGGTCAGACACTCGGAACCCCCACCCCAGCTCCCTCCATCCTGGGTTTTCTGCCGGGGCGGGAGGCATCGTGGGTGGGGCGCTGGCCCCCGAGGAGCACAGATCAGCCTGCGGGCCCCAGGGCACCTGGACCTGCTCACCGACTACGCCTGAGGGTGGAGGGTTTGGGTGGGAAAAGGAGCAGGACCTCCTGGGGGTGTGGGCAGCGGGGCTCCCCGGCAGGGAGGGCTGTCAGCCACCCCCCGCGGACCTGGCGCTGCTCGCTCCGCAGCCCCGGCCACGGCCGGTCGCCCCTGCCCCCGCCTCCCTTCCCCCCGCGGGCTGCGGAAACCGCTGCCTTGCCACAGGGCGGGCACGCCACGCCATTCGGGGGAGGCGGTGGGCGGGGGAGTCCGGCGCCCGGCCGGGAGCTGCGGGGCGCCCGGAGGAGGCCAGGCCGTCCTTCTGCGCTGGGGGCGCGCGGGGGCGCTGGCGGCGCCGGCCCGTGAGCGGTGTCCCCTGCCAGGTCCGCCGCAGAGCCGAGTCCGCCTGGGGACAGCAACCGCCCAGGGCAGCCAATCAGCGCCCGGGAGGCAGTTTTGACTGCCTTCCCGCCGCCGCCCCTGCCTGCGCCCGCCTCGGCCCAGGTGAGGGCGCACAGGGCGTGGGGGCCCCGCGCAGCCGCCGCGCACACCTTCCGGGGCCCGGCCGCCCGCCTCGACGGCAGGGGGCTCGCAGCTGGGTTTCCCTCTTTTCCTCGTCCCTGAGCTGGGGGCCTCCTAATCCGCTTGGGTCCGCGTGGGCCCGGGGGTCTCCGTGGTGGGCAGGTGAGGGGGATGCCAGACAGCTGGCGCAGCCGGGCTCCACGCTGGGCTGGGCGGGCCCCGGGCGGTGGGCACCGCGCTCAGGTGACGGCCCGGAGCCGTGCACACTTAGGGCGCCCTGCCTCCAGGGCCAGGGTGTGCTGCCCCGAAGGGGGGGGCAGCGTGCCGGGTCCCGGGGGACCTCAGCCCCTTCCCACCTTGAGACCCCGGACGGGAGCCCCCAGCTGGGTCCCACGGGTGCAGGCGGTGAGGGGGACGCGCGGCCCCACAGCCTCAGGGGCCGAGTTTCTAGGGAAAGGAAGGGGTGTGGCAACCCCCGAGGGCTGTGCCCCGGCTGTTGTGACTTCCCCAGGCAGGGCTGCTCTTCCTCCTCCGCACTCCCGTGGGTGGGGGCAGGGGCCCGGTCCTGGCCCCCCCACCCCCAGCACCTGAAGGCCATACCCACCTTGGCTGCCATGGCCAACTCAGCTCTCAAGTGGAGGGGCCCCGATGCTGGGGTCCCAGCTGGGGCAGAGGGGGACCGGTTCCTGCTGTCCGGGCTGCAGGCCCTGGGTCTGGCCGTCTGTCTCTGGACCTGACTCCCCACACCCTTTCCAGGCTGTGCGGGGCCACCTGCGCCCCCAGGGCACCGCTGTCTCTCCCGGGGCCGCACCGGGGCTGAACCTCATCCCTGCACCTGAGGGGGCTCCTTCGCCTCCCCCACCTCCACACTTGGCCACCCCCTGGGCTAGGATGGAGGAGGCTGGACAGGCAGAAAGTCCAGCCCCTGGGGACAGAGGCTCCCTGGGGAGCGGCTGCTGCTTGGCTCCACAGAAGGAAAAGAACGTCCCCAAGCCTGCCCAGTCCAAAAAAAGAATGAGAAAACGTGACAATCCCAGGAAAAAAATGCCGCAACCTTTGGGAGTGGGGCTGACAGACGGGCCCTATTCCGTCCTGACCCTGCCCGACCTTTCCTACCTGCTGCCCACGCGCCTCCCCGCCCCGCCGGGCTCCTCCAACTCTTCAAGGCCGCGGGGCTGCCGAATCTCGGTGACCCTCGCCCCCAGCTCACCTTTGCAATGGGCGGGGGGTGGGGGGGTGGGGGGACTAATTTCTCGCTCCCTCTTTCTGCTCGCAGGCTCTGGCCTGGAGGAGCCTGTCCCCCTTTGCAGGGACCCTTCCCTCCAGTCTCCGACACCCCCACCCCTACCTCAAGACACTCGCCGTGGCGCCCCACTCACCAGCGACCCAAAGGCGAGGTGGGGGCGGGAGGGGCCGGCTTCGGTGGGGGCCCCACCCAGGCTGCCGAAGGGGCGTGCGCCGCAGCAGCCGGGACTCCAGTCGGACGGCAGGAGTTCGGGAGGGAGGCCGGCGCCAGGGCCGATCGGCGCGGGCGGGGGTCGCAGCGCCTCCCCTGCGACCCGCGGGGCCGAGCGGCTGCCGGATCCAGCGGAGCGCGGCGGACAGGGTGCCCCGCTTCGGCCCCTCCCCACCAGGCTGAGGGGGACGGGAGACGCGGAAACCTGAGTTCTTCCGGCCCCCCTTTGAGCAATCACTTCCCCAGGCTCTGAGCTGGAGAAAAGGGGAACCCGGTTGCAGCGCCCCCTCCCCCACGCGCGGGGGGGGTCCGCTCCAGTCCCGCGGCGGCCCAGGGTCCACGTGGACCCTGCGGCGGGAGTTCTTGGGGTGCGGATCCCGGAGCCTGGTCGCGAGGCTCCCGCCCCGCGCGGCCCCGGGCCCGGCGGGGCAGGGCCGCGGTCCTCGGCGCCGCGCGCGCGCACTCACCGGTCGCGTTCCCGAGCTGCTCGCGCCGCCGCGCGCGGGGCCCGCGCGCTGAAGTCCGGCCGGATCGCCGCGGACGGGGCGCAGGGTGGTGTGCGCAGGCGCCTGGGCCGCACTTCCCCAAAGCGCGGGGCAGGGACTTCCTCGCGCGGGGAGGTACCCGGCGCGCCCCGCCCCGCGCTCGGCCGGCCCTGCGCCCCACCCGCCCCTTCCCCACCGCCCCGCCCGGTCCCGCCGGCGGCTCGGCCCCCGCCGTCGCTTAGGCTGCCCGGAGTACGCGAGGTGCCACAGATGGCGCCTCTGGCCCCAGGGCGGCCTGAGCGAGCTCTGCAGTAGCTGGGGGTGTGGCCGCGCCCCCGACAGCGCCCAGTCGGGCCGTTCTGGCTTTGCCTTTCCTGTGGCGGTCCAGTTGGGGCACGAGAGCCCTGGAGACGCCGGCGTCCCCGTGCGCTACTGGTCACGCTTGAACAAGGAGAGGCCGCGGGAACAGACTGCCCGGGGCTGCTCTGCCTGTGCCCCCCAGGCCGGGTGCCCGCGCCTTCCCAGCGGGATTCGCCGCTCGCTGTCTCCGTGCTGCGGGGGCTTCCCAGAGAAGGGGCAGGGGTCCCGGGCTGCGGTGCGGTGGATGCTGGGGGTGTCATCAATGTCCCTCTCCGTGGGGCTTCCCTGGGACCCCTTCTGTTGCCTCAAGGGGTCCTGCAGTTTAAAGCCACCGCCTCCCCTTTGCCACAAGGGCCCTGCCCTTACTCGCTGGCTGGCCCGCCTCTTGGTTTATGACCTGGTGCCGCTGTTAGTTGGGCCCCTTCGCGGCCAGCTTTTGGACAGTGTCACCGTGGCCCTGGCCCGCAGCTGAGAAGCGGGCTGCCGCCCGGGCGCGAGGTGAGGTGCCCAAGGGCGGATGTGCCGGGCTGTGTCTGCGGGGCGGCCTGGGCGGGCGCAGGTCTTGCTGGAGAAGGGGGTGGGGCCTGGGCAGAGAGGTGGCAGGGCCCACCCTGAGGCCTGGGCAACCCGTGGACCCTGTGGGCCGGCCGGGACAGGCCGGAGGCTGGACGCCTGTCCGGATGGGAGGCGGCTGCTGTTCCTTTAGCCCCGACGGCAGTGCTCCGGGGTAGGTCCCACAAGGACAGGCCCGCACCCGGCCAGGGCCACACAGCCGGGCTGGTCCCTCGGTGTGGTGTCTCCACCCACCTCCTACGACGTGTGTAGGGCTGTCGGCTGTGGGCGGGGGTCCACACGCTTCTCTCTCCCCTCGGGTCGCTCCCCCGCGCCCTCTGGCCACTTGGGCCCGCTGTCCATTCGCCTTGCCTCTGCCCTTCGGGGTCCCTCGCTCCCCCTCTGGGGGCCGTCCCTGTAGCGTGTCCCCGCACCCCACGGGAGGGCCCCGGGGCGGGCCGGGCAAGAGTCCCCTCCAGGCCATGCAGCAGGCACTGCTGGTGGCGGGTGTGAACCCAGGACCCTCTGCCCAGAGTGCCCTCTGCCCGGGGAGCTCGTGGCCCCGGGAACCCTGGCCGACCCCCTGCAGCCCCCAGCACACGGCGCCGGCACCGTGGCCCACGAGCTTCGTGCCCTCAGAGGAGCGGCCGCCTCCAGGCCCTGCCGCCTTTCCTCCTCTTGGCGTCCTCTGCAGAACTGGGGTTCCCTGCTGGCAGGGGGGTCAAAGGGCGCCCCGCATGCCAGCATTTGCGAGTCCCTCCTCTTGCTGGTCTTCATGCCTCTGTCTCGTCCCTCTGTCCTCAGGCGACTGTCTCGCCTGCAGCGACCCCTCCCTCATGGAGTAGTCTCAGTGCAGGGGCAGGGCGCCAGGTGGGACCCCTGAGGCCTCGTTTTAGAGACGGGAAGAACGAGAACCTCAGAGAGGCGGTGAAACGAGATGCACTTTTACTGAACAGAACGGGATCATCCCGGGCACTCGGTGCCTCCCCAGGCGGTGCCGCCGGGGCCCAGGTTGCAGGAAGCTCAGCCAGCACGGCCGGGGCTGGCTGTGGTCCGGTGCCCATCGAGGTCGTAGTGGCCACCGCCTCTGGACAGAGACTGCCTCCCTGCGTCTGTCCCTCTGTTCTGGCCCAAGCCTTCTCCCCCCCGCCCCCCGCCTGGGCACCTCCCTCCCTGCTGGAGCTGCCAGACCCCGGCTCCACACACAGGTCTGGATGTGGTCAAGGCCAAAGGCAGCAATAGCCCAGGGAGGGCGCAGGGCCACCGCAGCGGGGGAAGGGCTGCCGAGCCCCCTGTGGCTGTGCCCATCCAGACCTGGGTCAGGGCCTGGTTCCTGGCTCTGACCTCGGGGGTAAAGGCTGCGCCCCTCCAGACGATTCTCTGCGCTTCGCCTCAGTCCCCTCGCAGGAGCCGCCTGGCGGGCGGCGGGCTTGTCCGTCCCTGCAGCCCCTGCTACCTGCCAGTCGGCGCTGGGGGCGGGCGAGGGAAGCCCCAGGCTCGGCAAGAGCGAGAGTCCCCTTGAAGGCCTGCTGAGAAACTGGGAGGCTCTTCAGAATCCAGAAGGTTTGCTGGATGCGGGTTTGTCTGAATGGGGCTGGGCACTTTCCTCCCTCATGCGTGCGTGTGGCGGACACTGGTGAGGGAGAAGGCGTGGCACAGAGGGGCCTCCCGTCCACAGCCTCCCCCGCCCGGCCACGAGGGCCCGGGGGGCCCCCAGCAGGGCTGACCCTGCAAAGACCAGCCCCTGCCCGAGCCGCCCGTGCCCCCGCCCCTTCCTGGAGCGCCCCTGTCCTCCCAGGGCCCCTGGGGGGATGGCCTGCAGGCTGGGCCCCCTTGGGCCGCTCTTTCTCCCTGAGGCTGCCCGCACTCCTGGCGTGACTTGTGAGCCAGGTGCTCCTTGTCCCCTCTCCTGGTCCCTATGGGCTGATGGGGGCAGCCCCAGAGCCGGGCGGCTGAGGGTGGCCCTGTGCCCTGTCAACCCGACACCCACCACTGGCACCTTCCTGCTTCGATGGAGGAGCCCCACCCTGTGCCCCGCACCCCCGTATCTGTGACTCCCGATGCGGGAGAGGAGCATCCATACCCGCTTCCCTCCCAGGGGACCTGGAGCGGGACGAAAAGACCAGCAGGCGCTTAGAGAACCAGGACTTTATGGGGGAGGGTCGCGCAGCCGCCGGTTGCCCTCAGCGCAGGAAACTGCTGCCGTCGACTTTCTCTTCCAGGATGGTCTCCACGCGCCTCCGCTGCGGGGGGAGAGAGGCTGGGGCCAGGCACGCAGGGAGGCAGGCGGGGGCCCCCTTCCCGCCCTGGCCCGGGCTTGCAGCCACCTCTTGGCGGTCCAGGGGGTCCGGGATGCGCGTGGGCCTCAGCTGCGGCGGCAGGAACAGCTCCAGCCGGATGGCGGCGCGCGCGGACTTCTGCCGCTGGATGAGCAGCGAGATCTCCTCCGCCTGCGGGTGCGGGGAGGGGCGAGGGGGCGCTTCTGAGCCCGCGGGACGTCTGCCGGCAGCGCCCGGCGCGTGGTCCCCAGCCCCACTCCTCCCCGCCCCCTCCAGCCCGAGCCCCAGCCGGTCCCCACCCCGTTTTTTCAGGAGGCCCGGCTGGACTCCCTGCAGGTCCCCCTGCCCCGGCCGCCGGCAACCCCGGCTCACCCGCATGCGGGTGTAGCGCAGCCGCAAGGCACGGACTCGTCCGCGGGCCTCGGCTGCCTTGAGGGCGCCGAGCAGCCGGTCCTGGCGCGCCGCAGGCGGCTCGAGTGCCTGCGTCCACGCCTGCGGGTCGGGCATGCTGTACCCCAGCTCCACCGACTCGCGCGGGAGGATGGAGGCGGCCATGCCCACGTCCTCAAGCACGTCCCCGAAGAGCAGGTGGCGGTGGCACTGCGTGGGGTGCATGGCCGCCAGCGCCTCCACCGACAGGGCCCAGCCAGGCCTGGGGGGCGCCCTTGCGGGCGCCCCTTTGCCGCGCTTCTGACGGGGCCCTGCGCCCTGCGCGTCCTTCCCGGCGCGCTCCCGCGGGGCCCTGCGCCCGGCCTCCTTCAGCGCCGGCGGCAGCGGCATCCTCAGCCTTGCCAGGGGAAGAGGGTGTCCCCAAGTGGGTGCCCGAACGGCGTCCGTGGGGCACCTGCCCGCCCCTCCCGCTCGGCGGCGCGGCAGACTCCCCGCTTAGGTCGCGCCCCTCCGGCCCGAGCCTATCGCGCGCCGCCGTCGGCCCTGCAGCCTGGCGGAGCGTTCGGACCCTCGGAGTCGCAGGCATTTCCCTCCCCGTCCCCAGGCTGGCTCTGTGTCCCCTGGGAAAATGCCGAGACCCCCGGGTGGCCCTCAGGCCCTACCCAGGGTGCAGCTCAGACGAGGCTCCAGTCCCCTGGGTCTGTGGTCGCGGGTCCCGCCCCTTGGGCCCCCCCGAGGCTCAGAGGCAGACGGACAGCTGGCGTGCTTCAGGGGACGCTCCGTCCCCGTCGTCTGTCTCTGCTGGTCTCGGAGGAAAAGGGGGAACAGGGGCCCGGGAGGAGGGGGTCGAGGGTGGGGGTCCAGGAGGCGGGGGAGGGAAACACCCCGCGGGTCCGTGTTCAGCCCTGCAGCTCCTGCCTCCCGCAGCACCCCGCGCCCTCGGCACCGGTAGCGGGTTTGGGGCCTGCCCACGCCCTCCCCCCACTTCAAGCCCCATACTTTCTGCCGTCCTGGGGCCGAGCCTCGGACAAAGCCCCCGCTCCCTCGGGCATGTTGACGCGGCTGCCAAGCAACAGGAGCCCCGCCCCTTTCACCCCGGCGGGGGCGGGGCGGCGCCTCACGAGGGGCGTGGGCACGACCGCGGTGCCGGGGCGCTGAGACGCGGTCAGCGCGGGGGGCCAGGTCGCTGCAGCGGCCCAACTAGTGGGTGACCCTGGAGGTGGCGACCGCCAGCTTGTCTAGCCTCCGTGCGCTCTCCTTCCTTTCTGGGGAGCCCCCAACACACTGTCCTCCGAGGCCTGGGCGCCCCGCTGCCCCGCTGGGCAGGGCTTTGGCGACCGTGTTTGAGCACAGGGGACGCAGCCCTGAGACCTTCGTGGGGAGGCCGTTCCCCTCAGCGGGGCCCCCGCGCCCCGCAGCCGCGGGAGTGCACAGGCCGGGAAACGGGGCGAAACGCGAGGCCGGCGTCCGCTTCCAGGGCAAGGCAGGGCCGCGGGGCCCGCGAGGCCAGACCCAGGGGTTTTGCTGAGCCCTAACCCTGCGGTCCTGTATTTCTGAGGTCTGTTGGTGCACCTGTTCATTCATAGTCTCCTGCAACCGATCACTCCTCGGCTGCTTCTGGAATTGAGTCACGCGCTCCCCAGTCGGCTCTGCAACCCATGGACTCACGTGCTCATCCCGCAGGTTCCTGGGGCCCAGAGTTGCGTTGCGGTTCACAGCTCATTCACTGTGGGCGGCCCCCTTTCACGCCCGCCTCTGTGCCGGGGGCGGTGTGAGCGCTCGGCCCCGGGCGGCGCCACGTGGGGAGCTCAGGACCAGAGACCCGCGTGGGCGCTGTCTTGCTGCGGCTCTGGCCTCCCCGCCAGGGGCAAACCTCGGGCCTCTGCGCCCGGACTCCTGAGCCCACCCCGCCCCGGGCCCCGCAGAGGGGCTGTCGGACTCCGGTGCCCACGCCTCGCACAGAGACTCCCTGGGTGCGGGCGAGGCTCAGCCCGGGGCGCCCTTGGCGGGCGGGGGGGCTGCAGGAGGCGGGCCTCTGGGTGTCCGAGGTCAGTGGGGCCCAGCTGCCCACTTCCCCGAGAGGGTGGCACCTGTGTGTGCCCCCGGTGTCACGGGCCCTGAGCTGTACGCCTGCCGGTTCTGTCTTGTCTGCCCATGTGCCTCACATGCACTGGGGTGAGGGTTTGCGTGTGTGGCCCATGTATTTGCATGTCCCTGCAAACGGACCCGTGTCGGTGTGTTTTCCTGTGTGCCTGTTTGGGCATCTTTGTGTTTGCAGGCATGTGAGCCTGTGTGTCCCTCGATGTGTCCCAGGCCCACACACGTGTCCCTGAGTCAGCTGCCACAGAGATGCCGAGATAAGCCGCAGGGACAGCTTTGGATGCTGAGTCCTGGGGCATCTGCCGGCTCCGTCCTCTCCTACTCGCCAGGTATCCTAGCGACGCTGTGTCCGTCACCTAGCAACCAGGTCCCCATCCTTGGAGGTGGATGCTCAGAGCAGGGGCTGCGAAGTGTGGCAGAGCCCGTGTGGGGAGCGTGGCCCGGTGACTGGATGGGGCTGAGGCCTTGGCGGAGGGGCCCCCCCTGGCGGGTGACCCCAGCATGAAGACGGACCCTCTCCTTGGGGCAGCTCCGCTGCGCAGCTGCCCAGGGCCCGGGCTGTGAGCGGTGCTGCTCAGGCGGCATCTGGGACCCCACGGTGGAAGGGGCCTCCGTGGGGCATCTCAAAGTGATGGGGAGACTGGGGTCCAGCCCCTTCCTCTGCCACTTTGACAGGTGGCTGCGCACCCCTGAACCCTGATGCCCTCCTCGGCTCGGAGGTGGTGCCCCGGGCTGGGGTGGTGCTGGTGGGTGAGCTCGTGTCTGTGGCTGGCTTGGAGCCTGGCAGGTACGCGGGGCACACAGTAGGTGCGCGGGGCACACGGCAGAATGCGGGCGTCCTGCCGGCTGGCAATGGGACTCCGGTCCCCTTGAGGCAGGCCACGCGGGGCACTGCTGTGCACCCCCCGCCTCTGCTGGCCCACCGCGGAGCCCCCGCGAGGCCGGCCTGGGTCCCTCCAAGGCCACCCCAGCGGGTGAGGCAGGGCCCCCTGTCTGTGGCCCAGTCTGTGTGGTCTGTGTGCATCAGCCCACTTCTCTGTCCCCTGCCTGTGGGTGAGTCTCTGTTTGCCCTTGTGTGTGTGCCTGTCCCTGAGTCCTTGAGCGTCTGTTCCCATCTGTCTGCCCCTGAGTCTCTGTGTGTGTCCCTGTGTGTCCCCCATGCCCATCCCTGAGTCCCCACGTGTCCTCGTGTGGGTCTGTCCGCAGGTCTGAGTTGCTGTGTCTGCGCCTGAGCCTGGCTCGGGCTGGCTCTGCGGGTCTGAGTCTGTCTGTCTCCGTCAGGCGTCTCTAAACGCCTGCCCTGGTCCTCGCGTCTGTCCCTCCCAGGGTGGGGCCTGGCGACCCCCTCCCTGCGGCCCCCTCCTCCCCCCGGCACGGCCCCGCCCCCACCGCGCTGCAGCCGGCGCCCCTCCCCCCGCTCTGCGCGCCAGGCTGCTGCGTCTGGTCTGGCGTCTACTGAGGAGCAGCTGCCACTGCGCGCGGCCGCTGCAGCCTCGTCCGGCCCTGGTGCTGCCGCCGGGCGGGGTCTCCCAGCCGACTCCGCTTGCGGGTTAGGGTCTCCACGCCCCAGCTCCCGAGGAGCCGCCCAGGTAAGGCCTGAGCCGCGGGGGGCCAGGCGCGGGGGCTACCGGCCGCCGGCCTGCAGCTCGCAGGGAGGGGCAGGGCTGAGCTCGGCGCCCTGTGTCCTGTGTCCCAGGTGTTTCTGGGCACCTCTTGGCCCCCTTTGTGCCTGTGTGTGTGTGTGAAGACAGGTGTGGCGTCTGTGTGTGTGCGCACACGCGTGCGTCCCCGTGCCTGTGGGCACACAGGAGGCTGCCTGTGCAGGGGTGCCTGTGGGCGGGCACGTCCTGGCGTGTAGCTGCGCCCACACATCCCGTGTGGGAGCCTGTGTCTCTGTGTGTGTCCTGCGTGTGCACACATGCTCTGTGTGTGCACACATGCTCGGTCGGTGTCCCTGGCGGCGCTTCATGCCCGCATGTCCCCGCGTGTCTCTGTATGTGCGTGTGCCTCTGGGACTCTGGGTGCCCGGGGGTCCACGTGCCTGCTGGGCTGCGCACACGGCCTGGTGCGGGGGGGGGGCGCTGAGGACACGTGTCCCTGTGCCCCAGGAGCCGAGCGCCGGGCAGGCAGGGCTGCAGCATGGAGTGCCCCTTCCCCAGCCCGCCCTGGGGCGTCTGTGCCGACGGCCTGCAGGGCAACCTCTCCGGCCCCGACCACAGCCTGCTGCCGCCTGAGTTGCTGCTCAACGTCAGCCACGGCGCCTTCCTGCCCCTCGGGCTCAAGGTCACCATCGTGGGGCTCTACCTGGCCGTGTGCATCGGGGGGCTGCTGGGGAACTGCCTGGTCATGTACGTCATCCTCAGGTGAGCCGGGCGCGCCCCGCGCCGCTGCCGAGGGGGCCGAGGCGGGGTCTGTCTGGGGTGAGCGTAGCAGGTGGTTGGTTGCCTGTCACGGGCTGGGGTCTGTCCTGAGGCCCCGAGGTTCAACTCCCCAGGGTGCGGGGCCCCGAGGAGGGGAGAGGGAGGGCATCACCCTGACTCCTGACAGGCCACGCCCACCGGTCTGAGCCGCGGGCCAGGCCTGCACCCGGGCCGCCGCAGGGGGTCGTATGGGCCCTCAGTGACCCCTGAAGGCGGCTCTCGCTGGCCTGTCCTCGGGCCCCTGCGCAGGGCTGGCATCGGGCCGGCGCCCACGTCTGCGGGGTGGCCGGGCTGTGAGGCCCCAGTCCGTCACTGGGGCCGTGTGGAGCTGGTGTCGGGGGCACGGTGTGGGGACAGTGTGGGGGCACAGGGAGGGGACACGCACAGAAACGTGCGTGCACGTGGACGCACTTGGGTACACACACAGACATGCCTATACAGGTGAGTGTGTGTCCGTGAGCATGTGCTACACAGTGTACACATCTGTGAACACATAACACGCATGTTTGCAGATGCGTGTGTACTTGTATGCACCCATGCACACACACATACATGTGCAGAAAGTGCATGCAAGTATGCATGCATGTACCTGAGTGTGCACACACATGCCCACACAACGGAGTACGCACATGCTTGTGCGAGGGTGTATGTGCACGTGTGCGTGGCGTGTGGTGGGTGTGGCGTGCGAGCTCAGACATGGAGGCGAGAGGAGCAGAGGCCCCCCCACCCCCAGGCTGCCCCCTTGACCAGACCTGACTGTGTTAGAGCAGTTTCGGGGTCACAGAGAAGCTGAGAGGAAAGCGCAGAGATGCCTGCGTGGCCCCTGCCCCTACCCGCGGCCCCACCAGAGCAGCACGCGTTTCACGATGAATGGAGTCACATGGACGCATCCTAACCTCCCGGGGTCCACAGCTGACACCGCGGAGGCTCTCGGCGTCGCCGGTTCTGTGGGTCTGGACAAACGGACAATGTCACATGTCCGTCATCCCAGCATCGAACAGGGCAACGTCACTGCCCTGAACACCCCGGGGCCCCCTGCCCGGCCCCGCGGCCCCGGCCAGCGCCGGCCGCTCCCTGTCCCCATGCTGCCGCTCTCCCGGAACGTCCCGGAGCTGGAGCCAGCGTGGGGCCTTTCCTGGTCGGCATCGCTCACTCGGCCCCGTGCAGCCAAGTCCCTCCACGCCTTCACATGGCTCAGCAGCCGTTTCTCCTCCGTGCTGACTAATATTTTATGGTCTGGAAGGACCGCAGTTTACCCATCCGCCCACTGAAGGACATCTTAGTTGCCTCCACGTTTTGGCAGTTGTGAATAATAAAACTACTATAAATATCCACGTGCAGGTTTTCGAGTGGATGTAGTTTTCAAAGCCTTTGGTGAGTTCCAGGGAGTGTGGGTGCTGGATCACGTGGGCCTGTCGAGTTTTGTAAGAAACCCCCGAACTGCCTTCCAAAGCGGCTGCGCCACCTGCACCCGACCAGCGGGACCGAGCGTCCCCGCGGCTCCGCGTCCCCGGCGGGCGCGTGGTGTCGCCCCAGCTCTGGGTTCTGGCCGCTCTGACAGGGGTGCGGTGGCGTCGCGCAGGGTTTAGTTTGCACGTCCCCCATGGCGTGGGGTGGGCGCGTCCTTTCATTCGCTCTTTTGCCGCCTGCGTGTCTCCTTTGGTGAGGGGTCTGTTCAGGTGTTTAGCTCGCTCTTTAACCGTTTGTTCTCTTATTGCTGAGTGTTGGTCCTTTGTGTTCTGGATAACAGTCCTGTGTCATGTGTGTCTTCGGCAGATTTCTCTCGGTCTGAGCTGGTCTTCTCGTTCCCTTGAGGGGCCGTTTATGGCTCTGTGGCCTGGAGTGTCCTCTTGCATAGAATAGGGGTCACAATAGCATTTTTGGAAACTTAAATATGATAAAACCCACGTGGAGAGCCTGGCACGGGCATTGGCCGTCGTCGGGGAGGCTGCTGTTACTGGGTCATAATTAAGGCTTCTGAGCTCATTCTTAACCCCTCTTTAAGGGGAGGAAGTGACCCTCACGCTCCCTCTGGCCGTGTACTCGGCACGGAGCGTCCTCAGCTCTGGCGTTGCCGCTGCCAACACCGTCCATCCCCGCCGGCCCCACTGTCACGGCTGCTTGTTCGTCCAGCGAGGGGTCCGCGGGGCACCCCCGGCTTGGACGCAGCCAGACTCCTCAGCGCCCCCTCCCGTTACTGTCTCGACGGCCGTTGTCTGCGTGGCCCGGGAGGCCTGTGACGTGTTCTCACCGACCTGCGCCCTGGGAGAGCCTGGCAGGTGTAGGGGCAGCCTGTTCATCCGTGCAGGGCGTTGGGGGAGACTCCGAGGGCGGGGGCCGGGCTGTGGTCCACCCCCTTTCCCAGAGCAGCCGCGCGGAGAGGCTGGGCGCCGCCTCGCGTGGGCCCGCCGTACCTGAGGCTTGTTCAACTGTTTGCGCCCGGGCCCCGTGCCCTGGAGCCTGACTTTCAGAGAGGGCCTCACAGCGGGCGCCCCTCACGGTGGCTTGGCTCCCGGGTCCACCCAGTGGCCAAGGGCGGCCGCCCTGTCCCCTCCCTGTTCTCCCTGCAGACACACCAAGATGAAGACAGCCACCAACATTTACATCTTCAACCTGGCCCTGGCGGACACCCTGGTGCTGCTGACGCTGCCCTTCCAGGGCACAGACGTGCTCCTGGGCTTCTGGCCCTTCGGGAACGCCCTGTGCAAGATCGTCATCGCCATCGACTACTACAACATGTTCACCAGCACCTTCACCCTGACCGCCATGAGCGTGGACCGGTACGTCGCCATCTGCCACCCCATCCGCGCCCTCGACGTCCGCACGTCCAGCAAGGCCCAGGCCGTCAACGTGGCCATCTGGGCCCTGGCCTCCGTCGTCGGCATTCCCGTGGCCGTCATGGGCTCGGCCCAGGCCGAGGACGAAGGTCAGTGGGGGCCCCCCTCCCCGGGCGGCGCGCGCCGGCCGCCGCTGACACGCCCTCTGCCCGCAGAGATCGAGTGCCTGGTGGAGATCCCCGCCCCGCAGGGCTACTGGGGCCCGCTGTTCGCCGTCTGCGTCTTCCTCTTCTCCTTCGTGCTCCCCGTGCTCGTCATCTCTGTGTGCTACAGCCTCATGATCCGGCGGCTGCGCGGCGTCCGCCTGCTCTCGGGCTCCCGGGAGAAGGACCGGAACCTGCGGCGCATCACGCGGCTGGTGCTGGTGGTGGTGGCCGTGTTCGTGGGCTGCTGGACGCCCGTGCAGGTCTTCGTGCTGGTCCAGGGGCTGGGCGTCCAGCCGGGCAGCGAGACGGCGGTGGCCGTCCTGCGCTTCTGCACCGCCCTCGGCTACGTCAACAGCTGCCTGAACCCTGTGCTCTACGCCTTCCTGGACGAGAACTTCAAGGCCTGCTTCCGCAAGTTCTGCTGCGCGTCCTCCCTGCGGCGCGAGGGGCCGGCGTCCGACCGCGTGCGCAGCATCGCCAGGGACGTGGCCCTCGCCTGCAAGACGTCCGAGACAGTGCCGCGGCCGGCGTGACTAGGCGTGGACCTGCCCCTGGGGCCCGTCAGCCCGCAGAGCCCCTCCACGCCCAACACGGAGCTCACCCAGGTCACTGCTCTCTAGGCTGACGCGGAGCCCGCGCCCAGGGGCCCCCGGGCTCCGAGGGCCTGGCGACTTCATGGGGCAGGTCAGCGCGTTAAGGCGGCCCCCTCGCCCCGGCCACACCTCACTTGTCCTCCCGGTGCCGGGCTGGGGAGGGCGCGTGCAAGAACTCACCGGCGAGCGTGCCTGGCGGCGGCTCGGCTGGCACGCCCGTGCGTCGCGGGATTCCACGGCCTTTCGTCGGCTGCCCCCTGCGTGCTCCGGGGCACACGCGTGGAGGTCGGACAGTGTGTGTACAGCCCGTGCGCCCTGTGCCGTGTCCTGCCCGCAGGGGCTCCGCAGTGTCTCTTCGGGGACTCGCCCTGAGCTGCTGATACGGACTTGCCCGAGCCTCACGCTGGGGTGGCCCCCTTGTCCCCTGACTTCTGCTTCCCTTCAAGGAGGCTCCCCCGCTCCCCAGAAGGGCCCTGAACTATTGTGCTGTGGACATGGCCCTTCAGGTGCGTGGAGCTGGCTCGGGGGGGGGGCGGGACCACCGCAGGCTGCTCTTTCTGTCGTCGGCAAAGCGGCCCGGGTGCCCGGTCTCGACCGCTTGGCGCCGGGGGGCCCTCGCCGGGGATCCCCGGGCCCGGCCGCCGCTCTCTCCCGCTCAGTGTCTCCTTTCCGTGAGAGCAGCGTCAGCGGCTGTGTGGCTGGCGGACCTTGGGCCCTGCTCGGGTCTTGGTGGCCTTGCAGGGGTGGCGCCTGGGACAGGTTTTGCTCTGCGCTGGCAGAGATGCAGCTCCTGCTCCACTTCCAAGCCTCCCGGTGTCTACGGGGGCAGCCCGAGCTCCCGGTGCCAGATCAGGCAGTTCCGGCGCCGCAGCTGGGAGCTGGCCTGGGCCTGGGGACGCTGGGGGCAGTGTCTCCCTGCTGCGGTCTTCGGAGATGCGCCCCCAGCCTGCCGACGGGGGCTGCGGCTCGGTGGCTTTGCACACTGTCCCCTTGCGGCGCTGAAAAGACTCTTCTGCCTCCACCTGCGAGCCCAGCGGGAGCCCTGGCCAGGTGACCTCAGCCCCTGCAAGGGGCAGGAAGTGCTGACTGAGACTGGCTGCCGCTGCCGGAGCCAGGCCCCGCGGGGCCGCGACGCCTTCCTGCTGCGACCGGACGCTCTGCGGCCTTGTGCCCTGGACCATGCGCCTCTGTGTATGTATGCATGTGACCAGCATGACTCCCCTGCATGCGGCCCCCGAACCTGTCTCTAGGGCCCCGGCAGGAGGCCCCGTAAACCCTGCCCCTCGGCCAGGCCTCTCCTCTCAACAGGGGTTTCTGGCTCCTGCTGGGTGGGGCTGCTGGGGCACCTTCTCTGGGAGGACCCTGCGTGGTCCTCCCACCTGCTCTGCGGGCCTCACCTGTCCCGGCTCTGCCCTTAGTGGACGGTCCCCGCTCAGGCTCCAGCTTTGGGAAGAGGAGCAGCTGGCTTATGTGTTGGGGGGCTGCTACATTTTATTCAGCAAGTCGTTCAAATAGTGTTTCCCTAAACAACAACCGCTGCACCTCCTCCTGCAGGGGGAGGTCCCTGTCCCTAGTCTCAGCCAGCCCCCCACTCCAGCCCTGTCTCCCCTCCTTGCTCAGATCCAAGGGGAGTATTTTCTTTCTTTTTTCTCTTAAAAGGTAGATGGGGGGTGGGAGGGAGAAAAGCACCCACACGCACTTGCTTCTCATGCTCCCCTCGCTGGGGACCTGGCCCGCAACTCAGGCCCGACTGGGGATCGAACCAATGACCCTTTGGTTTGCAGGCCGGCGCTCAGTCCGCTGAGCCACAGCGGCCAGGGGTCTATACAAGCTATAATGATGGGCACTTTGCTGTTAAAAATTTGTCATCAAGAGAACGTTTGGGGCCCAGGCCTGGGTTGCAGGTCCCCAGCAGGGGGCGTGCGAGAGGCAACCACAGAGGGATGTTTCTCTCCTTTCTCCCTCCCCTCCCCTCTCTCTAAAAATAAATAAATAAAATCTTAAAAAAAAAAAAAAAAAGACTGTTGGGGAGGAATGGGCCACATGCGCAGGAAGGGCGCTCAGGAGCTGGAGGTGCTTGGGCAGAGGGGGCTCCGGCCTCCCCGCTGCCCAGGCTGCGTGTCCCTGGTGACCCCACCGTGGCCATCAGCGCTGACCAGCCAGGGGCGGGCTGGCAGCGGCGTCCTCCGGCAGCTCTGTGGGGAAGAGCCCGTCCTGGGCCCCGACCCCACATGCGCCCCCCTGCCAGCCCCCCCGCCCCGCCGCCTCGGCCCGGGTCCAGCGCCAGTCCTGGACCCTCCTGCCTCACCGCAGTTCCAACCTCCGTCCGGCCTCCAGCCCCTGTCTGGACCCCATCCCCACCTGCGCCCCCGGCCCCCCTCCCTGCCCCCGCCCTGTGAGCACCTGCCGGGCTTGGGCAGGACTTTGGGCTTCTCGGATGGAGCCCCAGTTTCTGACCTGAGCAAAAGGGACAGCTGGACCTTCCTTGCAGCTGCGGGGAAAGGCCCCGCCGTGGGACGCTTCCCACACCCTGTCGGACGCCAGGGACGCTGGGGGCGGGATCCCTGCCCAGGGGCTGGGCTCCGCGTGGCTGGGCTGGGGCCTGGGACGCGGCAGTGGTATCGGGGGCCGGGAGCGGAGGGTCGGCTTTTCCCAGGCCCGGCTCCCAGAGCCCAGGGACGCTCCCTGCCCGGCCTCGGCCCCGCCTGCCGGTCTCCATGGCCAGCTGCGGGGGCAGCCTCCCCTCTGAGACACGGGGGCGGGGGGCCGGGCCCAGATGGCCGCAGGGACGCAAGTCTCACAAAGAAGCGGGGTTTCTTGGTTTCCTAATGCATACAGGTTATGTTTACACTAGACTGCAGTCTATGAAGTGTGCAACAGCAACGTCTGAAACAACAAAGCACACCCCTTAATTACAAAACCTGGGGTGGGGGGGCAGCCACTGGTCCCCGCGCCCCCCCACCCCTGCCTGGCTCTGCGCAGTGCAGCCCGAGCCTGACCCCCAGTGGCCAGTCCTGAGCGCTGCGGCGGAGGGGCCCGGACAGCCGGCAGGGCCGGCCGCTGGGGCGGGGGAGACGTCCGCGGCCCCAGCCCAGGCCCTCAGCGCCCTTCCTGAAGAATAACCAGGACACACCAAAAGGAGGGCCTGGTGCTAGAGCCAGGCTTGGCCGTTTGCACTCTGAAAATTCAGGCACGAGTGGGTCCCTTCCCCCGAGGACTTCCGTTCTGGCTTTGACGTCCGTCGCCCTGAGGATCGTCTGGGCCGGGCCAACCCTGACGGGGTCAGGGCAGCCGCCCAGGGAGCGGCCCCTGAGCTGTGCTGCTGGGGGGGCGCAGCCCGGGGGAGGCGAGCAAGGCGGGGGGGAGCGGGAGTTTGGGGGGTGAGGCCAGCGGACAGCCCCCTGCCCCCCGCCCCGCCCCGCCCCCGGAGGGGTCGGCACTGGCACCCTGTCTGGGGTTGGGGGCGCAGGGCGCCCGGGGCAGAGGGGCGATGAGCCGCCCTGGCTGCGGGTGGCAGGTGGACGGAGGCACCGCGGCTGCAGGGGGAGGCCCGGGGGCGGGAGCCAGGGCCGCCCCCGCCTGGTGGCGGAGGGCCCGGGGCGGGGGTGCGCGGGGGCAGCCTGGACGTGGGGCGTGACAGGGAGGGCGGTGACGGGCGCCAGCATCGCTGAGGACGGACAGGCGGGGAGGTCGGCCTTGGGAGACGCGGGCTGGGGTCCCCGCTGCCAGCTGACTGGGGACGGAGGCCCGGGGGGCTCCGTGGCCTCCCTTCCCAGTGGCCGTCAGTGCTGACCAGGGGGCAGGGAGGTGGTCCGGAAGTGGCAGAGGAGCCGGTTCCGGGGCTTCGGAGGGCGGAGAGGAGCCTCGGGCCGGGGGGCAGCAGACGAGGCGCCGGGGGCTCAGGCCGCGAGGAGCTTTAGGGGCTGACGCTGTGACTCGTGGAGCGGGCGTGTCTGCGCTGGGCGTGTGCGCGCCTGCGCGTGCGGGCTCGGCCCTCCGGCCGCTCTGGCCTCTTCTTTCGGGCCATTCCTGGCCGCCCCGCGGAGTCTCCTGCGCCCAGGAGCGTCAGGCCGTTTCTCTCTCTGGAGCCTTCAGAACGACTCCGTTAAATAGTGACGCGTGAAATGCGGGGGTCTCGGTGGCGTCCGCTCGAGGGGGCCCCGTGGACGTGGGCGCAGCGCAGGCGGCGGGAGCGGCGGGTGCCGGTGGTGCCCATGCAGCTCCTGGGTCTCTCTGCCCGGCATGTGTTTGAAATTCTGTCTGGATAAATTGCAAAAGGCTTTGAAACGTCAAAAAATATTAACTGGGTGTCCTGTCAGCTCACCCTTTTGGCTTTTCTGTCTGTCGTTATTTTTGAACTGTTTTATGCTCTGCAATTGCGGAAAATTGATAGTAATGCAAACAATTCTTCATGGAAACGCAAATCCATTTAGTCCCGTGGAAAGCAGGCGACGGCCGCTCTTTGGCTCTCGACCAGTTTTGCTGACGTCTACCGACCGGTCGTGGCAGGACCCCCGATGGCCCACGTCCGTCCCGTGGCCCCGGGTCACCGCTGACCCGGGCGGTGACGCTTCACTGCCCTCTTCATTACTGTGGGCCGGGGGTTGAACTGTGCCCCCACAGGACCCGCTGATGTCCTAATCCCACGACTCGTGAGTGCAGGCGTGAGGAGGTACGAGGAGACCACACTGGGGTCCCCCTGAGAAGTGGGACCTCTGGACACAGACACAGACGAGGCTGGAGCAGCAGCAGGCGATGGCGGAGGCTTGGAGGGGGTGCGGCCCTGCCCGCCCTGGATTTACCGTCCATCCGGCCGTGAGAGGACTTTAATCCGCCTGTTCTGAGGCGCGGGGCTGGGCCCGAGCCCCGGGCGGGGCCGGAGGCCGGACGGGGGCCTGGGAGCCCGGAGGGGGTGCCCGGTCGGACTGTGTCTGCTCTGGGTCCCCTGCGGGGACCCTCCTCACGAGCCTCTGCCCTGGTGGAGTCCGGGGGCTGGAGGCTGTCAG